AAAAGACCCTTCGGATTCAGACAAAAATACACTGAAACTGACATTATCAATATGCTTGATTTCTTGATTGACAACATATTTATTACGTTTGGAGGACGTGTTTTTCAAAAAAACTATCAACATTCCCATGGGAACCAACTATGCTCCTCTTCTTGCCGACTTGATCCGTTATTCAAATGAGGCAGACTTCATACAGAAGCTTTTTTTTTCGAAGAATGAAATATGTCTTGTGGTCTTATGATAACCAAGAAATTGAAGTTGTTAATAATTTGACCTACCTTGGTGTACTTTTAAATTTAAATGACAAAAATATGATGTTACAACAGAAACTTTCGGAACAAGGAAGAAAAGCAATGTTTGCTTTGAGAAGAAATGTCAAAAGTATGTATTTAAACTATGTCACTTTGTTATCCCTTTTTGATACTTATATCAATTCTTTATTGAGTTATGCAAGTGAAATATGGGGTGCACACAAAGCCCCGGAAATAGAAAGAGTACACTTAACCTATTGTAAGAATATGCTTGGTGTTAAATTATTTACTAACAATATTATGATATATCATGAACTAGGTAGATTGCCTCTTATTTTAACAAGAAAATGCAAGATTTTGAAATATTGGTTTAGATTGCTTAATACTCCAAACTATATATTAAAAAACTGTTATAATTATATATATATGGCGAATTATAGAGATGTCCAAATAATAAGTGTAATTGGTTGTATTTTATTAAGAATGAACTGTTTGTTATTGGTTTATGTGATGTATAGTATAGCCAAAAACTTATTTCAGACTTGCCTGATGGATATTATGCTGTCATAAAGCAACGTTTATATGATTGTCTAAAACAAGAACTTGATGCTCAGTTGCATACTTCTCTGAAAGGGTCTAATTATAAATGCATGTTAGAAAATTTTTGTCTGCAATTTTATTTATGCAAACCAATTCCTAATGTTTACAAAACATGTATTACGAAGATTAAGTAGCCACAACTTAGCTATAGAAAATGGAAGATTGTGTGGTATAATCAGAAATAATATATACCTTTTGTAAAAATGATAAAGAGGATGAGTATCATTTCATCATCAAATGTCCATTCTTTCAAAGTTTTAAAAAATTTATATAAAGCCACATTATTAGAAAAAACTATCGATGTAGAAATTTATTAAACTAATGAGTAAAAACAATGTAAAAGAACTGTAATTTAGGTAGATCTATTTTTAGATCTTTTAAGCTTAGAACCGATACGTTAAATACAGTGTTTATTTATAATTACAACGCCTTCTGCTATTCTGTCACATATTTGAGTTTATATATGTATTATTGATGCGGATGCAATTAAAATGTGCACCTATTGATTATATAGACTTTGGCATATACTAGTAAATAATATCCGACTATACGGTTTTGGTTTTTCTGATTGTTGAAGGACGGGCGGTAACCTATAATTGCATATATACATGTCATTTGAGCTCTGGTGGATGGTTGTCGCATTGGCAAACATACCACATCTCCTTTTTTTTATTTACATCAAATTATGTGATCGGATTTTCTGCACTATTTCGAAAAGCCAATATGAAAGGGAGAAATTATCTCTTTGTTGAAGTAAAGAATTATCCAATTAATAATTTATATAGAGGAAAGTAATTTACCAGGACAGTTGGTTATACAAATAACCCTTTTCTGGTTCAACCTATCCTCTTGTTTAAAAATAGGGGTCACATAACATTAAGACCAATTAAAAAAAAAGGATAAGTGATATGATTGCCAATGAGACAACTGTCCACCAAAGTTCAAATGAAGTGGATGTAAGCAATTATAGGCAACTGTACGGCCTTCAACAATAAGAAACACCAATACCGTATAGTCGGCTATAAAAGGCCCCGACATGAAAAATATGAAACAATTCAATTGAAAAAAAAAACTAACGGCCTAATTTATAACAAAAAAAAAATCGAAAAACAAATACGACAGACAATAAACCAACGACAACCACTGCACTACAGGTTCCTGACTTTAAACATGTTTGTGAGCCCTTAACCTTGCCGCTAACCTGGAACAGTAGTGTAACAGCACAACATCAGAACAAACTATAAAAAAATAGTTGAAGAGGCTTAACTCATCAGATCGATACAAAGCAGAAAAACATCAAACAAAAACACAGACCGGACGTTTGCAGGATTTTGACCAGATAGAAGAATACCATTATATCGTATCATTAAAGTCAGAGGGCTCAATTATAATATCTTCTTCACGATTATCTTGAAGCGAGTGATCAAATCACAATATGCCCAAGGGTCGCTGAATTATAAATCCAATTGTATGACAACATTCGCCTTAAAAATGTTGGCCTTATGTCAGGGATGTGAACTCGGCGAAGAATTACTAATCGAGTACTCGTTGGCTTTACCGAGCGATACTCGAGTACAGTTTTCGGTGGGGAAACTATCTACAAAATTCGTAAGGGTTCCGCGGAACCCATTGTCTCGCCTATTTTTGCTGTTAGTTGCAGGTTCAACAAAAATGGGGAAAAAATTATTAAAAATTTTCCTCTAGATAGGTAAGAAGCTTTGGTAAAAATCCAGGATGGTTTATGAATCTAATAATTTTTTTAAAAACTTTTAACTGCAGACTGTATGCAATGTTAACTGGAAGAAAAACTAAGTCCATTTATAAGTAATATACGGAAAAACAGGAAATAAATTTTTACAAAATTTCCTTCTAGATACTAGCTTTTGATCATAAACAAGTTTCTGTCCAAGTTTGGTACAAATCCAGCGACTCTTTTCACAAAAAAACTTAAGATAAATTTTACTCTTAAGAGTAATCTTAGGTTTTTCACAAAAAATCTTAAGTAAATCTTAAGAGTAAAAACTATCGTAACTTTAAGAGTGCTATTACCCACTCTTTAGTATATATTTTAAACTTAAGAGAAATCTTAAGAAAATAAAAATGGCTGCCTTAGTTATTTTCAATGTCATAAACAGAAGAGCTTTAAGAAGAGATCGCGTTTTTCGTGACAGGACAGACAACCTTGATTTTTTAAATGATGACCAGTTAATTGCACGGTATCGTTTCCCCAGGCAGTCTATTTTGGATTTAACAGACACGCTCAGAGATGCCATTAAAAGACCTTCCAACAGATCAAATGCAATCCCTCCCCATATTCAAGTAAGTATAACAACACAAATCAAACTTTCTTCTTCCGTCTTGTAGTTGAATGTGCAAATTTGGTGCTCTCTATCACGTCCGCTATGAAGTGAATGGTTGCAAATTATGTTACGCCAATCCCGAACACATACACACAAGCAAGACTCGAGGTTGTACTGACAGATTTTTTTAGAATGTTAAAGATCAATAAACCTTTTTTCCCAAGCCTTAAATTTATCAGTCTGATTATTGTACACACAGTTGCAGAAATGGACACATTTGGGGTGAGATATGAAGGGTACTCGGATGAAGGGGGGATTGTCAGATGACCTGTTTTCGACCTACCTTTATTTAATCCATTTCAACTGCACATCTGCATATAATGATGCATGTTCGGGTTTCAATAATTAGAACAACAACAGTGCATGCTTATCCGACTTAGAAATGTAGTAGTTGCTTTCAAAGCCGGACATATAATTTATTATTACAAATTTAATTCAATGTAACTGTTTCGGTCATGTTTTAAAAGGTAATAAATTGCTTCTAAAATTTTTGTTTACAATTAAAAGATATGATGGGTTTCATGAAAACACTTGGTATTCTGCATATCTGACATTAATTTCCATATACAAGGGTCGTCCCATGTCCGTGCTTAGAGCCGCAGAATACCTTGTCGAAAATAGGGTCAGTCATTTTGATGACGAGTGAAAATCACAAAAAAAATCGACAACATTAAAAAACATAGAAAACCTATGACCATTAACTAGTAAATCTAGGAATATTGTCATTGAAAATTTAACAAAGCATCCACTGACTTTAGTTTCTTTTTTTCCAATAAATATTATTATAGAACGATATATTTATACTGTTTCATCATAGGAACTGATTAAAAGAGAGGCGAAAGATACCAAGGGGCCAATTAAGCTCAAAGGTCGAAAACAAAACATTAATACCGTGACGATAATAATAAAAAAAAAAAATAGACACCAAGCACTCCACTTACCACAACATAGAAAACTAAAAAAACTGATCATAAGCAACACAACCCCCCCCCCCAAAAAAAAAAACCCGGGGTGATCTCAGGTGCTTGTAATTAAGCAATGATGGCTTTCATAATACTGCATGCATTTCCATATATTCCCTAGTCATGAGATTGTAATGTCGTGGTTCTGTTGGGTAGTTTTCTATCATTTTGTTAATTTTTTTTTTATTTCAGATTTAAATATATGAATCCGTCCCGGTTGGTTTTCTCGTTTAACCAATTAAATGTTTTGTAATGCCAAGATCTTTTAAGCTTAAAATACGATTTATTGAATTTTACGCATTATTGAAGTCTGGCCAATGGTGACCTAGCTATAGCTGCTTAAATCTTAATTAACTTTTTTAGTATGTATAGTTGTTTTATCAACATTCATGCCAAATCAATACATTTTTTTTTAAAATTATATGGAGTTTGTCCAGTGTCCCCTCATGATACATTATTCACAGCGCAGATATATATAAAGATTCATTCGTCTAAATCAATGTTTCCGTTCGCTTTAGCTCTCGCAATTTCCAGTAGTGAGTACACTACTTGCAATATCCGGTGTACAAATTGTTAATGACATGCAGTCACAAAGATGTTCAATCCGTCCAAGCAAATCAGTTTATCCTCAGTTGACAAAATCTTTATAAAATCTTGCAAGTTGCAGGGCGTAATTTCGGCGACAGTTATATTCCGAATAACACATTTATATTGTTTTCCTATTTACCCACTCATTGTATATCATCGTACACCGGAATTTGCCTGTGGTGTACTACATATTGCTGCAGCGTGTAATATATATATATTTTTTTTCTTTTTCGAAGGTTATGACAACATTGAGAATATTGGCAAAGGGTGACTATGTGTCAGAAGTTGCAGATTTGCATGGCATTTCCATTGCGTCTGCATCTAGAGTAGTTCATTCTGTTTGCGCTGCTATTTGTGAGAGGATTCAGAACATCAAGTTCCCAAGAGAAGAAGCCGAACAGAGGAGGGTAAAAGAAATGTTCTACGACATCAGTAGCTTTCCAAATGTATTGGGTGCCATTGATGGGACGCTGATTCCCATCCAAGGGATGTCAGGGGATGATGAGCCAAATTATGTGTGTAGAAAACAGTACCACGCAATAAATGTGCAGGCCATCTGTGATGCAGAATTGAAGTAAGCTCTTTTTATAAGTTCATCATCAGTAATTAAACAAAATGAACAACATTGTATAAATTAACTATACATGGTTTTTAAGCTAAAGAAAATCAATATTCGAAAATAAGTATGTGTACTTATTTACATGTACATAGAATCTCTTTGACATATTCCCCGTTTCCACTGATTCTTATTCAATATAAAAAAGAAGATGTGGTGTGATTACCAATGTGACAACTCTTCACAAGAGACCAAATGACACAGAAATTAACAACTATAGGTCACCGTTCAACAATGAGCAAAGCCCATACCGCATAGTCAACTATAAAAGGCCCCGAAATGACAAATGTAAAACAATTCAAACGAGAAAACTAACGGCCTAATTAATGTACAAAAAAATGAACAAAAAAACAAATATGTAACACAGCAACAAACGACAACCACTGAATTATAGGCTCCTGACTTGGGACAGGCACATAAATACATAATGTGGCGGGGTTTAACATGTTAGCGGGATCCCAACCCTCTCCCTAACCTGGGACAGTGGTGTAACAGTACAACATAAGAACGAACTATAAAAATGTGCTTCGCCGAACGCAGCTGGATACGACCGCAGATGTCCAATCCTGGACAGTTTGGGCAAAAATGGACACAATATTCAAGCTTGATACAGGTCTGAATTTGGATTTTAATTAAATATTTGACACATTATAGGTTTCTGACACTGAAAAAAATGTAGTCAAAGAACTTGAAATTGGTTAAATGATTTGAATTTATTTTCAATTGAAGATTTCTTGCTGTTGTGCAATACAATGTGCTGTAATCTGATTTCAGACTATATACAAAGAATAAGCAAAATCAATTGTGAAAAAAAAAATTGAGAGAACCCCCCCCCCCCCCCAAAAAAAAAAATATGGAAATTTTCGAAAATCTTGAAGAAAAAAAACAATTTTTTTTTTTTACCCTTTTTTGCCCCTCATTCCTGAAAATGTTCGGGCAATTACCCCCAAAATTGATCCCAACCTTCTACTTGTGGTATTGAACCTTGTGGTACAATTTAAGAGCAATCAACAAAACTTATTCACAAGTAATTGTCCGGAAACTAGAAAAATGCTTGTTTTGGGCCCCTTTTTTTACCCCTTATTCCTTAACGGTTGGGACCATCACCCCCAAAAACAATCCCAACCTTCCTTTTGTGGTATCAAACCTTTTGATTAAGTTTCATAGAGATCCATACACTTTAACTAAAGTTATTGCCCGGAAACCAATCTGTCTTCGGACGACGACGACGACATTGTGATAGCAATATACGAACGCAAATTTTTTGCGGTCGTATAAAAATCAGTTGAAAAAGACTTGGATGGAGAGTTGTCTCATTGGCACTCATACCACATCTTTCTATATCTATTAACTCATCAGATGGATAATACAAATAGAAATACATTCAAAAAAACTTAAATTAAATGAAAGCAAATCTAGATTAACAATATTACCAATTCTACTGCCTTAGATGTGCATTCAACATATTAGAGCGAATGGTTTCTGCTGGCATAAATAATTAAAAAATAAATAGCCAATAAACATAATCTGAACAGAAACCAAGGAAAAAGTCCAAGTCAGATTTGCATTTAAATGAGTATCTAGGATCATAATTATTTTTTCAGTAATAAAGTATTTTTTATTTTATTTAAAAGGTTTACAAACACAGTTGTTAAGTGGCCAGGAGCCACTCATGATGCCTTCATTCTGGCCAATTCAAATATACCAACAATAATGGAGGATCAGAATGGATGGCTTCTTGGGGATTCCGGCTATGGATTGAAGAAATGGCTCATGACTCCCTTAATGAAACCCAATTCACAGCAAGAAATAAGCTACAACAAGTCTCACTGCAAGACGAGGAACACGGTAGAGAGGGCATTTGGTGTGTGTTATGAACGTTTAATTATACTTTCATAGTTTTGTTTAGCCGAAAATATTGTTCCCGGCAAAATTGACAATTTCCTATTTTGCGTTACGAAATTCCGCCAACATGTGGCATTCGAATAACATCTTTTGTTTTCCAGTTTGTTATTAATACTACATTTCCGTAGTAACTGCATTTTACCTGCTTTATATTCCCAAATCGGTGTAAAGTCGGATGAAATTGTCCATTCCTTCAATATAATCCAATGTTTACGTACTCGCTAGTTTTAATACACACAGTTAACCTTGACCGGTAGCGACATATTTTCTTACACGCAAGGATAAGGCGTGCTAAGTATTATAAAATGGGGATTTTCCGAATAGCAAAACGAATTTGAACTCATCTTTACAGAAACTTAATAGGTAAATACTTCACGCACGAAAATCACAGAAAACCGTTAAACATATTGTACTTTCATTCTTTGTAGTAATTTATAGTAATAATAATAATTTCTATTTCTTGAAATAGAAGTTTAGTTGTTATTTTATTTAGAAAACCTGGCTAATATATTTCGAAAAGCTCAGTTGAATAGAATAAATATCTACAGACTAAAGGTATTTTAAGAAAGATTGAGAACAATCTTTACACTGGTGGCAGCGGTGGGATTCGAACCCACGCCTCCGAGGAGACTTGTGAAAGAAAAGAAAAGTACAGTTGGTGAGATTAATTAAGCGTATAGTATATCTTTCAGTAGTTTTAAATTCAACAAGGATAAATATAAATCCAAGTTGAAAAGAAATAATATAGTTAATCAAAATCTATGTCAACAAGGATAAATTCGAATCCAAGTTGAAAAGGTTATAATTATTAAATTTGAGTATATATCAACAAGGATAAATATGAATCTATAAGTTGAAATAAAATAGTTATGGGGTATACATCAACAAAGATAAATTCTAATCTAAGTTGAATGTTAAAAGATAAAAAATTTTAAGTCAAATTTCAACAAGGATAAAATAAAATCCAAGTTGAGCTAGATTAATATTGAATACCATATTCAATAAGGATAAACTTTAATCCAAGTTGAGTTTTAAAGTTAGGAGTCTATTTTTAACAGGAATAAATCTGAATCCAAGTTGAATAATAATATTAAAACCATAATTTTTTCAATAGGGTCCAGTTGTAAAATTTATAGTCTATTTCAAAGTTGTAAATTAAATAGTCCATTTCATAAGCTTATTTTTTACAACAAGGATAAATATAAATCCAAGTCGTAGTTATAATAATTTTTCGATAGAGTCGAAGTTTAAAAAAAAAAATTATAGTCTATTTCGAAATTCTAAATTAAATAGTACATTTCACAAAATAAGTTTTACAACAAGGATAAATATAAATCTAAGTTGTAGTTATATTTCATTAAGGTCAAAGTTGAACGTCTATAGTCTATTTCAAGTTTGTAATGTATATAGTCTATTTCACAAAGTAAGGATAGATTCATAATCCAAATTGTGTTTTAAAAGTAAGGCATAGGAAATTCTTTATCAATTTCAACAAGGATAAAATTTAATCCAAGTTGATTAGTAAATTGAAACTCTTGATTCCATTTAGCAGTCAAAAGTAGGATGTATAATTTGAGAAACAGACAACCTAGTATGTCTACGGGATCAATGTCTTTAGGAAGGGGAAGAGGAAGGGGATCTGGAATAAACCCACCAAGTAGTTTAGCCATTCCCAACCATGCCATATCATCTGGGAATATGGAGGCCCATTTTTCAGGGGAATCTAGAAACTCTCATGATTATTTTAATGCAAGGTTTAATATCCCTGAATTCAGTAATGGGGAGACAATAAATAAGTATCCAAATATATTGCCTACTTCAATTAATGAAGGAGAAAGGGAGATAACTCATTTGACTGATGAATTCCTTGTACCATGGATCATACTATCAACTTACCTGTTATAAGTAAAGAAATTGAGAATAACACTAATCCGTTCCTTGTTCCAACTCAAAGTCGAAGTGATAGCGCTTTAATTTCAAGATCAACCAATTCTGATAGTGATGAGCTCACACAATTAAGAAGACAATTAGATGCCTTAAAGAATGAAAATTTTGAATTAAAGAGAACAGCCCAACAAAACAGCCTTCCGATACCAAGTTCAAGTCAAACAAACCCTAATCAAAATCTGGTCAACACAATTACCCAGTCAACAGAGTATATAGAGCCGAATGTATATGCTGGTACCCATACCCATGTAAACCATGATATTGTTAGCAGCAACATTTCACAGAATCCAGTTCTTAACAAGAACTTGTATACTCAGAGTCAATTTGTGAGCAACACCTATCCTCATAATACAATGCAAAGAAGTAACTATTCGCAAAATACAGTACAGAATAGCCGATATATACAAAATCAAGCCCCGAACAGTAATTTTTCACAATTTCCAGTTCAAAATAGAGATTTCCAACAATATCAACCAATCACAGAGCCAAACTTGTTACCAATGCAGCATTCCAGTGGACCACAGTATATCAATACATCGGAAGTTCCAATATTTAATGAAAATGGACGCAGAACAAGAGTGCCATTCTATAACGGGAAGGATCCATGGAATGCATATGTGATGCAATTTGAATTGATTGCAGAAATGAATAATTGGAGTCCATCAACCAAAGCCATAGAACTAGTGACAGCTCTCAAAGATGAAGCAATGGTCTATGCTTCATTTCTTACACCAGAGACAAAAAGAACATATTCAGTACTTTGTGCAGCCATGTCCAACAGATTCGGAGACCATGGGTACCCTGAAACTTACAGACAAGAGCTCCATACTTTGAGAAAGAACAATAGAGAGACAATACAAGAATATGCATCAAGGGTCGAGATGTTAGTCAGGAAGTCTTTCCCTACAATTGACACAGCAACCCACAGTACACTGAGCGTGGAGTATCTGTTAAGAGGCCTGCCAGATCAGAGTATAGCAATTGAACTGCTCACAAAAAGGATTACCAGCATTACAGACTGAGGTAATTCACCAAGTTACTTTATATGAGACCTATAAGAGAGGATCAAGAGATAGAAACATCCGCCAGCTTGGTACAACAGATTGCAGTGACACTGATGATTGTGAATCTGAGGACATAGAGGTCAGAAAAGTAGGAGGGAAGAGATTTGTCACAGAGGATCGATTGACACAGTTTGAAAGAGGCATGTCAGAGTCTTTGGAAAAGATTATTCAAAGAGAAATGGCAAAGTACAACAAAACACAGGAGTCTGACAGTAGTTCAAGGCCAAATAAGCAGAAGTATAGTGACAAAAAGACCAGATTTAAGAATTCCAGATGTTTTGGTTGTAATGAAGAAGGCCATTACATAAAAGATTGCCCAAAAGGAAAGAGAAACCAGTATCATAAAGATAACAATAACAGAAATGGTTTGAAAATCAACTATGAACTGAATCAAAATCAAAACTTAGAGTCTTTAAACTAGTAAGGGCTGAAACTGTCGGCCAAGTGCCAGCCCCTATAGTTAAAGAAAAAATTGAAGATAAAGAGATATTAAATGAGAAAAAACTTGTCAAAGAGAAACAGTGGGTACAACATCTATAAACAGATCATTTGAAGGAGATACATGTAGCCTAGTTACAAGGAACCTAGACTTAAACCTAGATTTGTTGTTTGAGGAGTCAAGGGAGATACAGAAGAACACACACAAGAACACACCAAAGGAGGTAATGGGTAGTGCAGAACCAATCAAAGTGATAGAAGAAAACATTATCATTGATCGGGTGACAGCAGCTACCATTACAGTTCCAGTGGTCATTAACAAGATTGTGGCTAATGCAGTTATTGACACTGGAGCAGAGGTGACGGTTCTTAGTGACAAGCTGTATAAACAGATTCCTGAGGGTCAACGGCCAAAATTAAGGAGAGCAACAAGGAATTTGGTAGTTGCTGAGGCTGGAAAGAACCTAACAACAAGAGGAATTACAGAGGTAGACTTTGGTCTAGGAAGTGAAACCTTCAAATGGCCTGTGTATGTAGCACCCATTGGTGACAATATGCTATTAGGTTGTGACCTAATAGATGATATGGATATCACAATTAATTCCAAGAGAGGCCTACAGATAAATGGTCAGTGGATTGAGTGTGAGACAAAAAGACAAACTGACGGAGTAGCCAGAGTCAGAGTAAAAGACACAATAACTATACCAGCTAACTCTTTAGATAATAGTTGCTGGAAAAGGTGAAAATAGCAAGTTTCTGTCAACAAGATATTCCATGGTAGAACCGGTAGTGGAGGATGGTAGAAAATTTATGGTAGCATGTACCTTGGTAAATCCTTTTGGGAATAGAATACCTGTCAGAGTAATTAACCTTGACGAACACCCTGTTAGATTGAAAAGAAACTATTTGCTAGGAGAACTTCACCCAGTAGTGGACATAACTGAGGTCAGTAACATGGAAGAACAACAGATACGTAGTGATGGCAACATTCATGATAAGTGTAATACATGTTACTACAATGGTCCAAATCCTAAAGATTTCATCTCATACCAAGAAAATGGAGATAAGGTGATTGTACCAGAGTCATGGGTTCAGAATACAGATCATGTAAGAAAGATTACTGGGGAAAATTGTCAGGATACACAGATGAACAAGGCCGATGTTCAGATGTTGCCTGAATTTTTGCAAGATTTGTATGAAAGAAGTATTAAAGATCTTACAGAAGAACATAGAGAGAAATTGCGACAGCTTCTAATTACAAATAAAGATGCTTTTGCAGCAAACAAGACACATTTAGGAACCTGTTCTTATATTAAACATAGCATTGACACTGCAGGTGCAGCTCCTGAAGGCCAGCCATTAAGACGTACACCTACCAGATTTGAAACAGAGGAAGAGAATAATCTAAAAGACCAATTGGAACAGGGTGTCATTCGACCATCAACTTCACCGTGGGCTTCAAATGTTGTTTTGGTACGAAAGAAGGACCAAACAGTGCGCTGGTGTTGTGATTTTAGAAGGCTTAACGAATTAACTGTAAAATGCGCCTACCCCGTTCCGAGAATCGATATGTGCATCGATTGCCTTAGTTCTGCATCAATATTTTCCTGTATCGATTTACAAAGTGGATATTGGCAGCTCAAAGTTGAGGAAAAGACATCCCTAAAACAGCTTTTATTACTAAATATGGGTTGTTTGAATACACTAAGATGCCATTTGGATTATGTAATGCCCCAGCCACATTCCAACGTTGTATGGAACTTATATTGCGTGGTTTACAATGGCAAACAGTATTAATATATCTTGACGACGTCATCATTTACAGTTCTAATATAGATGAACATTTGAAGCATCTTAATGAAGTGTTACCTCGATTAAAGAATGCAGGATTAAAGTTAAAACCATCCAAATGCGATCTGATTAAAGATGAAATTTTGTATTTAGGGCATATTGTTGGTAAGGATGGAGTTTAACCTAATCCTAAGATTATAGAAAGAGTACAATCCTGGAAAACACCTAGCAACACCAAAGAAACCCAACAGTTCCTAGGACTCTGTAATTATTATAGGCAATTCATTAAAGGATTCAGTAATATTGATGCCCCATTGAGTCATCTGACTAGAAAAGATACCATATTTGAATGGACAGATGCAGTACAAAACAGTTTTGACCTTCTAAAGACAGCACTATGCACAACACCTGTACTTGCATATCCTAAGCCAGATGGGAAATTCATATTAGATACAGATGCTTCAAATATTGGTTTAGGAGGTGTCCTGCACCAGATACAAGATGGAAAAGAAAAAGTCATAGCTTATGCCTCTAAAAAGTTGGATAAAACCCAACAGAGATACAGTGTGACAAGAAGAGAGCTTTTGGCAATGGTGACTTTCATACACCATTTCAAACATTACTTGTTAGGCAACAAGTTTACCATCAGAACTGATCATGCTGCATTAAAATGGTTGTATTCCTTTAAAGACCCTCAAGGTCAATTAGCAAGGTGGATTGAGTCATTGGCACAGTATGATTTTGATATTGCTGTCCGTCCTGGCACCAAACATAATAACGCTGATGCAATGTCAAGATTAGATTACAATGATCAGCTATGTGAACACCAACAGAAGGAAGAATTTAATCAAGACTGTAAATGTTGCATAAGTCTAATGAATGACTGGCAGAAATTTAAGTCAGAAATTGACAATATAAAAGAGCTAAATAGCAAGATGGATCATAGTAAAGATACAGAGAGCAAAATAAGGGTTACAACAAAACAACAACATAATCAAAGTACAAACAAAACCTGGTTAGCCAAATATACCAACCAAGAGATGGCTGTATTCCAAAAAGAAGATGAAAACATAAAAGTTCTTCACCAATGGATAAATAGTGGATCTATACCTGATAGAGATAAGGCGGCAAGTCTGAACCCTGCTGTACGCCGTTATTGGTTAAATTGGCAGAATATAGTACGTTTGGAGGGAGTAATTTATCAAAAATGGATTTTAGACCAAAATGGTAGATACAATCTACAGCTTATAGTCCCGGCTGTTCTACAAAAGGAAATCCTGATAAACGGTCATGACACACCCTTTTCTGGACATTTAGGTGTTGCCAAGACAAAAGAAAAAATGAGACAAAATTTCACTTGGTATGGAATGGGCAAAGATGTGACATCCCACATAAAAATGTGCCAGATATGCAATAGATGGAAAAACTCCTCAAGAAAACCAACTGCACCTTTGGGGGACTACAGAGTAGGAAATCCAATGGACCGCATTGCTATTGATATAATGGGACCTTTGCCTCTTACAAAGAAAAAGAACAGATATCTCTTAGTCATAGGAGATTATTTTACTAGATGAATGGAGGTGTATCCAATTCCTCATCAAAATGCAGACATCATAGCAGAGAAATTGGTTCATGAATTTATAGCTAGATTTGGAGCACCACTGGAGATTCATACTGACCAGGGAAGGAATTTTGAGAGCCAGTTATTTGCAGAAGTTTGTAAACTGCTAGAAATCTCCAAGACTAAGACCACAGCTTATCATCCAGCATCAAATGGAATGATAGAAAGATTTAATAGAACATTAGCTGGAATGATAAGAAGTTTCATAAATTCAAATGCAAATAATTGGGATTTATATATTAATCTTCTTTTAGCAGCTTATAGGAGTAGTCCACATCCTGCAACTAGACACACACCTAATTTTATGATGTTGGGAAGAGAAATCAACATTTCTAGTTCAATTTTGTTTCGTTTTCCCAAGGTAAAAGAATATGACAACGAGGATCAATATATAACAAGATTACGAGATAAGATGATGGAAGTTTACAGTATTGCACGAAATCACTTGAAGTCATATGCAGAACGATCATGATACGAGGATTTTCCACAGTCAGTATGAAGTTGGGTCCCTTGTCTATAAATTTGACAAAAACATTAATAAAAAATTTAAGTCACCTTGGGTTGGTCCATATAAGGTTACAAAAATTTTAAGTCCTGTTGTGTATGAAATATCTCATAAGAACAAAACTGAAATAGTTCATTTTGACAGACTTAAGCCTTGTACTTCTGATTGACAAGAGTTTCAGAAAATACTAATCAACTTGGACATGTATGTAGTATAAGTTGATATAACCATTGAAGTAAAACCTTTGGTTAATTTTATGTATTTTCAGTAAAAATGGTTTTCCTTCAATGTTCCCTATGTAGATACCAAGGAAAAAGGAAAAATGCTGTTGATCATTATTTAAAGAGACATTTGCCTGAGAAAGAAGTTCCATATTTTTGTGTGTTATGCAAATTCAGAGCAGTTAATAAATCTAAATGGGAGAAATATTTGCATTCTTTTCCAAAGCATATTAATGCTATTAATTCTTGTCTGACTAAATTATCAGATAGTGCATACTGCAAAGAATCTAACAAGAAATTTGAGCTTGACATAAGTCAAAATGGCCAGCTTGTACCCATTGAAAATATAAATGCATGTGTTCAAACCGTCCAACAGAGCACTAATATATCGTTATAAAATAATATTGGTTGTGAAAACAATGATGAACCCGTTCCTGAATATTCTGAAGAAATAGTGATTGTTCCTATGACGGAGGAAGATCAAAATATTTTTAGTCTAGATGAAGAAATACTTCAATTGAAAGACACTTTATTAAAAGAAAGAACACAATTTGAAGATTATTTAAAGAAGCTGGAGAAAACTAAAAGTACTCTAAAAACTGAACTAGATCAAACTAAAAATGAACTGGAAAAACAGAAAAATAAAGAAAACCAGAAGAGTGGAGAAAAGGGAAGAAAAGACAGAAAAAGGACTTTCCAGGAACCAAGAATTCAAAGTGTAGTTGTTGTGCCAAAGAGAAGACGGTGAATTGTTAATAAAAACATTTTTTAGTGACAATATTAATAGAGACAAAAACTTTAACTTGTTGACATTATTTATTTGTATATATATTGTGTTTATTTTCATTGATATAATTTTTAGCATACTAGGTGTGGTGTCGTGATATCAGATTAATCGTGACATAGCCAGAAATATATATATACATATATATTTTATCCAAGATAATTGAAATATTTTAATTTACTTTTATATCCATAAGCTCCTCAGCAGGTGCTTGTTAAAATCGTTTTATTGAATGTTCCAATTTGTTAAATATATCACATTTAATTTTTGTAATTTCGAGACGAAATTTTATTTGATGGAGGGCAGTGTTATGAACGTTTAATTATACTTTCATAGTTTTGTTTAGCCGAAAATATTGTTCCCGGCAAAATTGACAATTTCCTATTTTGCGTTACGAAATTCCGCCAACATGTGGCATTCGAATAACATCTTTTGTTTTCCAGTTTGTTATTAATACTACATTTCCTCAGTAACTGCATTTTACCTGCTTTATATTCCCAAATCGGTGTAAAGTCGGATGAAATTGTCCATTCCTTCAATATAATCCAATGTTTACGTACTCGCTAGTTTTAATACACACAGTTAACCTTGACCGGTAGCGACCTATTTTCTTACACGCAAGGATAAGGCGTGCTAAGTATTATAAAAAGGGGATTTTCCGAATAGCAAAACGAATTTGAACTCATCTTTACAGAAACTTAGTAGGTAAATACTTCACGCACGAAAATCACAGAAAACCGTTAAACATATTGTACTTTCATTCTTTGTAGTAATTTATAGTAATAATAATAATTTCTATTTCTTGAAATAGTAGTTTAGTTGTTATTTTATTTAGAAAACCTGGCTAATGTATTTCGAAAAGCTCAGTTGAATAGAATAAATATCTACAGACTAAAGGTATTGTAAGAAAGATTGAGAACAATCTTTACAGTGTGCTTAAAGCTCGCTTCAGGTAATCTTTTAATTCCGTTGGAATTGCAACCAAAGACGAAGAACTGGATCTTCCATCACTGTATTGGATACCTAAACTACATAAGTGTCCTTACAAACAACGGTATATTGCTGGGTCTTCCAAGTGCTCCACGAAACCTCTTTCTAAATAATTAACATCTATTTTATCAGCAATCAAAGCCGGGCTCCAAAGTTATTGTGAAACTGCCTATTCTAGAGGTGGCGTGAATCAGATGTGGATACTTAAAAATTCCAAAGATCTTTTAGAGTACATACAATCTAAGACTCTCTCATCTTGCAATAGTATTAAAACATTTGACTTTTCTACACTTTACACAAGTATTCCCCATTCCAAACTAAAAGACAAATTGAAAGAGTTGGTATTACTTTGTTTCATTAAAAAGAATGGCGAACGTAGATACAAGTATCTTGTCTTGGGGAGGGATAAATCCTACTTTGTAAAGAATCACTCTGATTCAAACAAAAAATTCTCTGAAACTGACATTATCAAGATGCTTGATTTCTTGATTGACAACATATTTGTTACGTTTGGAGGACGTGTTTTTCAACAGAATGTCGGAATTCCAATGGGAACCAATTGTGCCCCTCTTCTTGCCAACTTGTTTCTTTATTATTATGAGGCTGACTTCATACAGGAGCTTCTTAGGAAGAGAGATAAGAAGTTAGCAATATCCTTTAACTCTACGTTCCGCTATATAGATGATGTTCTCTCACTAAATAATACAAAATTTGGTGACTATGTTGAACGAATCTATCCCATCGAACTAGAGATGAAGGATACTACAGATACAGTTAGGTCTGCCTCATATCTTGACTTACATCTAGAAATTGACAATGAGGGTCGGTTGAAAACAAAACTTTACGACAAAAGAGATGATTTCAGCTTCCCAATTGTGAACTTTCCATTTCTATGTAGCAACATTCCAGCAGCGCCTGCATACGGAGTATATATCTCCCAATTGATACGATATTTCCGGGCTTGTGTTTCCTATCATGATTTCCTTGATAGAGGATTGCTGCTCACAAGGAAGCTATTAAACCAAGAGTTGCAAATGGTGAAGTTGAAGTCATCCCTTCGTAAATTTTACGGACGCCATCACGAGTTGGTTGACCGTTATGGAATAACCGTTTCACAGATGATATCGGATATGTTCCTTATGTCGTAATTACAATACCCTTCCCTTTTCACGAATGTGACTTACCGAATTAGACTATTTACCGGATTTGTAATAACATAAGCAACACGACGGGTGCCACATGTGGAGCAGGATCTGCTTACCCTTCCGGAGCACCTGAGATCACCCCCAGTTTTTGGTGGGGTTCGTGTTGCTTAGTCTTTAGTTTTTTATGTTGTGTCACCTGTACTATTATTTGTCTGTTTGTCTTTTTATTTTTGGCCATGACGTTGTCAGTTTGTTTTCGATCTATGAGTTTGACTGTCCCTCTGGTATCTTTCGTCCCTCTTTTTTAATACTTGATAAAAGCTCTTTTGCTGTTATCTTACTTTCTGTATCATAAATGACTTATTAAATTGAAAAAATTTCGTTATGAAGAAAGCAAATATGTATGCTCTGACTCATCATTTACTTAAATCAAAATGTCTTAGTCCCTCAACAATAAGAGCAAAATACCAACAATGATATATTTCATTGATAGAAGTTAGAAATATATTTTAAATAATAAGGAGATGATTCCTGAGTCATGCCAAGAACATTAATGGGCAAAGGGATGTAAACTGTGACCTATAATTGCTAAAACCAACAGGAGATGGAATAATCGTTAAAAACGCCCTGTAGTAGTAGTAGTAGTGGAATAATAATTCACAATTTAAACTAGTAACCAATTTAAACATGTGAAACTTTTTTTTTTACAGATGTCTTCATAAAACCGGTGGATCCCTCCAATTCAACTCTCCTAAGTGTTGCAAGATGATTGGGGCATGTTTCAGACTGCATAACAAGGCTTGCAGTGAAGGGCTGCCAGTACCTGAAGATGTGGACATTCAACAGTTAGCGCATCATAACATTATCAATGATGACCAACAAAATAATGAGGCAATCGCTATAAGGAGGAGATTAATCCAGAGATTTTGAGTCAAATTAAATTTGGGAAAACACTGATTATGTAGTGATTAATTTTTCAAAGTACCAAAAAAAAACAAAATAACTTTCAGAAAATTTAATAACTGGTGACAAACAATGGAGATCTATTCCAAACTGGTGTTCTGTCAGCTGTGAAGCTCTAATGGCTTCTAGGGCCACAGTAGACCTCCGTTGCATATCCAGCATCTGCTCCATGATCTTCAACTTTTATGCTTTGTACATCTCTATTTTTTGGAGCTTACTTTCTTCTAGTAGGAAAATACTGCTCTTCGGCCTCAGAGGCAGCATCTTGTTTACTCATGGCAGCTATTAAACAAAAATATATATATTGTTTAAGCATGAATAGTGAAATGAAAGCTACTTAAAAAATCTTTTTTACATTTTATCCATGTTCTGCTTTGTACTAGACAAACTTTAAAAAACAACATCTCTGCCAACAAGGTTGCATTGATTAACACTACAATTTTCCAATTTTTTTAAATGCTTTATTCAAATGCTTTTTTTTTGGTGAACTGTATGTGATCATATAATTACGAGCAACAGATCAAATTTGAGTTGCATGCTGATAATGTTATTATTATTATTATTATGTTATTATTTCTAATGATTAGTTGTTTTGTTCATAAACGATAAATTAGAAGTGACTAACAATAAAAAAAAAATAGCGGTTAACCGATAAATTAATAGCGGTTAACCGATAAATTAATAGCGATTAACCGATAAAAATAGCGGTTAACCGATAAAAAAGGCAGTCAACCGATAAAATTAGCGGTTAACCGACAAATATATAGCGGTTAATCGATAAAAATAGCGATTAACCGACATTAAATAGCGGTTAACCGATAAAAATAGCGGTTAACCGGTATATAAATAGCGGTTAACCGATAAAAATACCTTTTGAACCAAATGGTGTACCATTTTATCGGTAAACCGCTATTTTTTTTATTGTTAGTCACTTCTAATTTATCGTTTATAAACAAAACAACTAATTATTAGAAATAAGTAAGTGATTGATTGAGGAAGTTTATCGCTTAACCTGTTTCAACAGTAATTTGAAATGCTGACTCCTCCCATGTTGGTCAATTATTCCCACCCAACTTAAAGAATTGTTTGACGAACGCCCACTTGTTTCGAGCGTTGAGCACGTGGCAATATCATATAGCACATAGCACTATATTGCACGTCAGCAATCTTTATTTTATATATGACAAAACGTATTGCTTTGCGTGAATTAATCACTAAAGAATGGATTAATTTACCTCTCAGATTCCCATCTTCTCCCGCCCTCACCTCCTTTTTTATATTTACGCCGACAAAACAACGCGGTAGACGCCGCCTGGTGATGGAATTTACAATTTCTACCTCTTTATTCCTAAATATCATAATTTCTAGATCGATTCGTGATTTATTGTTTTTTTTTGTTCATTCTCTTTATAAAACATTGAAAAAAATATTATACACTGGTTGTTTTTGGCTTATTAAGCATCTTTAACGCTTCCACAAGATACCAAAATGACACAGAAATTAACAACTATTATAATAGGTCACCGTAAGGCCTTCAACAATGAGAAAAGCCCATACCGCATAGTCAGCTAGAAAAGGCCTCGAAATGACAAATGTGAAAAAGTTCAAACGAGAAAACTGACGACCTAATTTATGTACAAAATAATGAACGAAAAACAAATATGTAACAGCAACAAAAGACAACAACTGAATTACAAGCTCCTGACTTGGGAGAGGCAGATACAGAATGTGGTTGGGTTAAACTAGAATACATTTTTCAGAAAATTTATGAATACTGGTAGCTTTTTTCTTGAAAATGTATCACTTGATTTTTTATGAAGCGGTTTTTTGTTTAGGTAAAACACATTTTACTATCACATGAACCCAGAATCCTTCATGTGATGATATAAAACTAAAACCATATACTGTGACCTATAAGAGTCTAGTAGTTATTCGTGTCGTTGGATTGCTGTCTAAATGACATATACTATTGTTTCTAATGATACATGCAGAAAAGTCTAAAAAGAATGCTCACAGAATTATGAGAATAAAATGTTTCTTTGGAAATGGTTAAGATATATTATAAACCAAAAAACATTGGTTGGCAATAAAATAGATGCAGGGAATGTGCCACGGGAGTTTACAATACATTTTATGGCACAAGTAACACGATACCGAATGGCATATCTCCCTATTTCTAAAATATTTTGCACACTTTGAATTTGATCCGAGTTATTTTGGAATATGAAATACAAAATGGGGGTCACCATTTTTGTTTTCTTGTAATTTTCATAGGAAAACTTCAATTTTGGTGGCATAGGACAATGATCACTTTAGGCCAAATATAGCCCTGAATTTTAGATATTTATCGTAAAATTTCAAAATCTTAAATGGATCTGTTTTTAAAAGATTTACTATCTTGGTAAAAGAAATCTCTTCATAACAGTGCATTCTTTGCTTCAAAATCAGCACATTTTTTATATTTTGTCAAAATAGGATGATTTTGTGAATTTCGGAAAATTCCGGACCTATTAGCTTGAGAAAACCCTTGGCTGCAACCTAGGATTCAAAATGTTCTGTAACCAATTGTTGCCAATGATGATATTGAATCCCTAGACACAAAACTTTCTGAATTTGTATGGTGGCCAAAGTAAATTATGCAAAAACATGTTAAGAATTATTGACCAAATCAAATAAAGAATACTTAAAGAGTCAATACTTCGTCATATGTAATATGATGTGCCAAATTGAAGTTATTTTGTAATAATTTAATTTTGGATGTAACGCGTCTTCTGATTGGCTGACGTTGTTTTGTTTATCAGCTCATAGACATAATTTTGTCATGTGACCGTGACGTCATCAACGTTTTTTCATGGTTTACTCCGGTTTAAAAAGATATTTAGAATTGAATTATAAGAAATGACTGTAATATTTTTTCTGTTTATGCGAAATAACATAAAAAATGTGGTGCACACTTTAAAATAACCCGCTACGCGGGTTATTCAGTGTGCACCACATTTTTGATGTTATTTCTTCATAGACAGAAAAAATATTATAGTCATTCCTTAAATAAAAGTAATATCATGACTATTTCTATGTGATCTGTGTAGTATTATGGCCTGATTAAAAAAAAAAAACATCAAAATCTTACGGCCAATGTTAGACCTTCGTGAACTTATATGGATATAATAAGGAAAAAGCCTTTTTCGACTTACAGTGGAGATCACTTCTAACCTCTCATTAGAACTGTTAGAATAGTCTGTTATAGAACTGTTCTAAACTGTCCTAGAACAGTTCTACCTAGAAAAGTTCTACCCTAGAACTGTTCTAAGTAGAACTGTCAGAATCAGTTCTAGGTAGAACTTACCAAATCAGTTCTAGGGTAGAACTGTCTAAAACTGCTCTAGATAGAACTGTCAAAATCAGTTCTAGTTCTACCAGTTCTAGTCGTAGAACTGTCAGCAGAACTGAACAAATCAGTTCTAACCATAGAACTGTTCGGAGCTTTACTTTTGCGCCAATTGGCATTTCATTTGCGCTAAAATAATCTTTCATTTGCGCCACAAACCATATTTCATTTGCGCCAAAATAAAACATTTCATTTGCGCCAATGATACAGGTTAATACAGGTAATTAGTAAAACAAATAGTTATATTTAAAGGAGACTTTTCATAATAACCTCAAAACACAATTTTTGATTGCATCATAAAATATATTTCTCCGAAATCAGTCATCGTAACCATAATGAAAGCAATATACACGGATACGTTCTTGATAACAGATATTTCATAATACAATTCTGTTATAAATTAACGAGATCATCAAACCCAAAAGGAAGCACTATACACTGGAGTAAGACCAAAAGTTCGTTCTGACACAAGACTTGTAAGCAACGGCCCGGATGTACTCATGTACACTGGATAAACTATATGTGTGGTCAAAATAAAAAATTACAGACTTATTTTATATTTATAGTTTTATATCTAAGTGACTCTCAGTTTCATGTATAAGAAATGAGCATGAACTTACTTAGATATCAAGGGGGAATACCCTAAACAAACCTTATTCACGATAAAACGATTTATATTTTTAACTTTTCCGTTAAAAGTTACCTGTAAAATGGCGCAAAAGTAGTTTTTATTTTTTGGCGCAAATGAAATATAACCTTGTGGCGCAAATGAAAGATTGGATTTTGTAAAAAAAAAAAAAAATTGGCGCAAATGCAATGCGCCCGAACTGTCAGCAGAACTGAACAAATCAGTTCTAGCCGTAGAAATGACCAAACCTGTCATGATTGTAGAACAGTTCTAAATGACGTCACTGCACTTAGGGCATCTCACTGGTCACCATTCAGTGTTATTATTATCGTTAATAAAGACACACGCAAAATGAGAAATTTTTAATATATATTATATTTTTTTGACTTATTTATATTTAAGACAGAGAGTTATGAAAACTGGTCTATGGATAGAACTGACTAAATCAATTCTAGCCGTAAAACTGACCAAATCAGTTCTAATCGTAGAACTATTCTAGTCGTAGAACTGTTCTAGCCGTAGAATTGTTCTAGTCGTAGAACTGACCAAAGATTTGGTCAGTTCTAGGTAGAACTGTCTAAAACTGTTCTAGGGTAGAACTGTCAGGATCAGTTCTAGGTAGAACTGTCTAAATCAGTTCTAGGTAGAACTGACCAAATCAGTTCTAGATCAGAACTGTTCTAGTTAGAACTGTCTAAAAGGTGTCAGGGTGACAGTTCTACATACTGTCCTAGAACAGTTCTCCTGACAGATTTGATGAGAGGTTAGAAGTGATCTCCACTGTATCTATTTAGATTTTTCAATGTATGGCTATTTTCTTATATATGGAGAAATAAGACTGACATAATATTCTGGATTGTATACTACATGTAATTGCATGCATGTATAAAAATACTAATGTCACCATCCCTTTGTTTTTTTAGATAAATTGCTTCAAAGTTGATCAATCAATACGTTTAGAATTTGACCGAAAACGTGTA